GTGGGGACAGAGACCGTGATGGCACCTGGTGACACTGGGGACATTGGGGGACATTGGGGACACTGGGGGGATTTGAACACTGGTGGCACCTGGTGACACTGAGGTGCCATCGGTGACCCCGAGGTGTCATTGGTGACACCCAGGTGACCCCGAGGTGACCCCGAGGTGACCCTGGTGGCCCCGAGGTGACCCTGGTGGCCCCGAGGTGACACCGGTGACCCCGAGGTGACCCTGGTGGCCCCGAGGTGACCCTGGTGGCCCCGAGGTGACACTGATGACGCCGCTGTCCCCACAGGTGCCCTGGTGATCTCGGCCTACGCCGTGTGCCCCGATGTCACCGCCACTGTCACCCCCGACCTCAAGTGTCCCAACGAGCGCGGTGAGGGGACACCTGGGGACACCTGGGGACACCTGGGGACAGCTGGGGACACCTGGGGACACCTGGGGACACCTGGGGACATTTTTGGGTCGGTTTTCCCCATTTTTGGGACATTTTGGTGCCGGTTTTGGGGTCCCAGGTGGGATTTGGGGTCCCCAGGTGTGGCCGGGGTCACTTTGGCTCCGATTTGGGGCCGTTTGGGGCCGATTTTCCCCAGTTTTGGGTGAATTTTCCCCATTTTTGGGTCAATTTCCCCATTTTTGTGTGAATTTTCCCCAGTTTTGGGTGGAATTTCCCCAGTTTTGGGTGGAATTTCCCCAGATTTGGGTCAATTTTCCCCATTTTTGGGTCAATTTTGCCAATTTTTGGGCGAATTTCCCCAGTTTTGGGTCAATTTCCCCAGTTTTGGGTGAATTTTCCCCAGTTTTGGGTGAATTTTCCCCAGTTTTGGGTGGAATTTCCCCATTTTTGGGTCGATTTTCCCCAGTTTTGGGTGGAATTTCCCCATTTTTGGGTCAATTTTCCCCATTTTTGGGTCAATTTTGCCAATTTTTGGGTGAATTTCCCCATTTTTGGGTCGATTTTCCCCAGTTTTGGGTGAATTTTCCCCAGTTTTGGGTGAAATTTCCCCATTTTTGGGTCAATTTTCCCCAGTTTTGGGTGAAATTTCCCCAGTTTTGGGTCGATTTTCCCCATTTTTGGGTCAATTTTCCCCATTTTTGGATGGATATTGGGTCTAATTTTGGGGATTTTGGTGTTTTTGAGCAGATTTGGGGATTTTTTTGGGGGGTTTTCGGGCTGATTTTGGGGTTTTTAGGGTCCCTGCTGTGGCCCAGGTGTTTGCCCAGATGTTTTTGGGTGGAATTTCCCCATTTTTGGGTCGACTTTCACCATTTTTGGGTGGATTTTGGGTCAGATTATGGGTATTTTGTGGTTTTTGGGGCTGATTTTGTGGTTTTTGGGGTTTTTAGGGTCCCTGCTGTGGCCCAGGTCTTGGCCCGGGTGTTTTTAGGTGGAATTTCCCCATTTTTGGGTCAATTTCCCCATTTTTGGGTGGATTTTGGTGCTGATTTTGGTGATTTTGGGTTTTTTTGGGCTGATTTTGGTGTTTTTGGGGTTTTTAGGGTCCCTGCTGTGGGTTCAGCTGTCCCCGAGCTCGGCCCTGGCCCAGGTCTTTGCCCGGGTGTTTTTGGGTGGATTTTCCCCATTTTTGGGTGGAATTTCCCCATTTTTGGGTGGATTTTGGTGCTGATTTTGGTGATTTTGGGTGTTTTTGGGTCAGATTTTGGTGTTTTTGGGTTTTTAGGGTCCCTGCTGTGGGTTCAGCTGTCCCCGGGCCGGCACCGCCTCGGGGGCTCGGCCCTGGCCCAGGTCTTTGCCCGGGTGTTTTTGGGTGGAATTTCCCCATTTTTGGGTGGATTTTGGGTCAGATTTTGGGTTTTTGGGTGGATTTTGGGTCAGATTTTGGTGTTTTTGGGTTTTCAGGGTCCCTGCTGTGGGTTCAGCTGTCCCTGGGCCGGCACCGCCTCGGGGGCTCGGCCCTGGCCCAGGTCTTTGCCCGGGTGTTTTTGGGTGGAATTTCCCCATTTTTGGGTGGAATTTCCCCATTTTTGGGTGGATTTTGGTGCTGATTTTGGGTTTTTGGGTGGATTTTGGGTGTAATTTTGGTGTTTTTGGGGTTTTCAGGGTCCCTGCTGTGGGTTCAGCTGTCCCTGGGCCGGCACCGCCTCGGGGGCTCGGCCCTGGCCCAGGTCTTTGCCTGGGTGGTTTTGGGTGGAATTTCCCCATTTTTGGGTGGAATTTCCCCATTTTTGGGTGCAATTTCCCCATTTTTGGGTGGATTTTGGTGCTGATTTTGGGTTTTTGGGTTGATTTTTGGGTCAGATTTTGGTGTTTTTGGGGTTTTTAGGGTCCCTGCTGTGGGTTCAGCTGTCCCCGGGCTCGGCCCTGGCCCAGGTCTTTGCCCGGGTGTTTTTGGGTGGAATTTCCCCATTTTTGGGTCAATTTCCCCATTTTTGGGTGGATTTTGGTGCTGATTTTGGGTTTTTTGGGGTTTTTGGGTGGATTTTGGGTGTAATTTTGGTGTTTTTGGGGTTTTCAGGGTCCCTGCTGTGGGTTCAGCTGTCCCCGGGCCGGCACTGCCTCGGGGGCTCGGCCCTGGCCCAGGTCTTTGCCCGGGTGTTTTTGGGTGGAATTTCCCCATTTTTGGGTGGAATTTCCCCATTTTTGGGTGGAATTTCCCATTTTTGGGTCAATTTCCCCATTTTGGGGTGGATTTTGGTGCTGATTTTGGGGATTTTGGGTTTTTTTGGGCTGATTTTGGTGTTTTTGGGGTTTTCAGGGTCCCTGCTGTGGGTTCAGCTGTCCCCGGGCTCGGCCCTGGCCCAGGTCTTTGCCCGGGTGTTTTTGGGTGGAATTTCCCCATTTTTGGGTGGAATTTCCCATTTTTGGGTGGAATTTCCCCATTTTTGGGTGGATTTTGGTGCTGATTTTGGTGATTTTGGGTGTTTTTGGGTCAGATTTTGGTGTTTTTGGGTTTTTAGGGTCCCTGCTGTGGGTTCAGCTGTCCCCGGGCTCGGCCCTGGCCCAGGTCTTTGCCCGGGTGTTTTTGGGTGGAATTTCCCCATTTTTGGGTGGATTTTGGTGCTGATTTTGGGTTTTTGGGTGGATTTTGGGTGTAATTTTGGTGTTTTTGGGGTTTTTAGGGTCCCTGCTGTGGGTTCAGCTGTCCCCAGGCCGGCACCGCCTCGGGGGCTCGGCCCTGGCCCAGGTCTTTGCCCAGTTGGGCGATTCCTGCCCCGACCTGGACGAGCCCGGGAGCCTCGAGAGCGCCTTCAACGTCACCCAGGAGCTGCTGAAAGGTTTGGGGTGAAAAACGGCGATTTTGGGGCTTGGGGGGGAAAATGGGGATTTTGGGGTGAGAAATGGGGATTTTGGGGCTTTGGAGGGGAAAAACGGGGGTTTTGGGTCGAAAAATGGGGATTTTGGGGTGAGAAATGGGGATTTTGGGGGGAGAAATGGGGATTTTGGGGATGAAAAATGGGGATTTTGGGGATGAAAAATGGGGATTTTGGGGTGAAAAATGGCAATTTTGGGATGAGAAATGGTGATTTTAGGGTGAGAAATGGGGATTTTGGGGTGAAAAATGGGGATTTTGGGGTGAAAAATGGTGATTTTGGGGCAAAAAATGGCGATTTTGGGATGAAAAATGGTGATTTTGGGGGTGAAAAATGGGGATTTTGGGGTTTTGGGGGTGAAAAATGCGGATTTTGGGGGTGAAAAAACAGGGATTTTGGGGCTTTGGAGGTGAAAAATGGCAATTTTGGGGTGAAAAATGGCGATTTTGGGGTCAGAAATGGGGATTTTGGGGCTTTGGAGGGGAAAAACGGGGATTTTGGGTCAAAAAATGGGGATTTTGGGGTGAGAAATGGGGATTTTGGGGTGAGAAATGGGGATTTTGGGGCCAGAAATGGGGATTTTGGGGTGAGAAATGGGGATTTTGGGGTAAAAAATGTCGATTTTGGGGCGAAAAATGGCAATTTTGGGGCGAGAAATGGGGATTTTGGGGTGAGAAATGGGGATTTTTGGGGTGGAAAATGGGGATTTTGGGCATAAAATTGATGATTTTGGGGCAAAAAATGGGGATTTTGGGACTTTGGGGGCGAAAAATGGTGATTTTGGGGCAAAAAATAGCAATTATGGGGTGAAAAATGGGGATTTTGGGGCAAAAACCAGCAATTTTGGGGCTTGGGGGGCAAAAAACGATGATTTTGGGGTGGGAAATGGGGATTTTGGGGTGGGAAATGGGGATTTTGGGGCTTTGGGAGCAATGGGTGACAATGGGTGACCCTGGGGGTGGCCCTGGGTGACCCTGGGGTGACCCCAAGGTGGCATTTGGAGACCCTGGGTGACCTTGACATGACCCCAAAGTGACCCTGGGTGACATTTGGGTGACATCTGGAGACCCCAGGTGTGTCCCCAAGGTGTCCCCAGTGTCCCCAAGGTGTCCCCAAGGTGTCCCCAGTGTCCCCAGTGTCCCCAGGTGTCCCTGGGTGACTCTGGGTGACATTTGGGTGACATTAGGTGACATTTGGGTGACATTTGGAGAGCCCAGGTGTGTCCCCAGGTGTCCCCAAGGTGTCCCCAGTGTCCCCAGGTGTCCCTGGGTGACTCTGGGTGACATTTGGGTGACCCTGGGTGACATTTGGGTGACATTTGGAGAGCCCAGATGTGTCCCCAAGGTGTCCCCAAGGTGTCCCCAGTGTCCCCAGTGTCCCCTGGTGTCCCCAGAGCGTGTCCTGACCGCGGGCCATGACGTCAGTGACGGTGGCTTCCTGGGCTGTGTCCTGGAGATGGCCTTCGCTGGCAACTGCGGTGTCACCGTCAGCGTCCCCGCGCCACCGCCCGGCGTCACCCGTCAGTGTCCCCTGTGTCCCCTGTGACACTGAGTGTCCCTGAGTGTCCCCTGAGTGTCCCTGAGTGTCCCCTGAGTGTCCCCTGTGTCCCTGAGTGTCCCCTGTGTCCCCTGTGTCCCCTGAGTGTCCCCTGAGTGTCCCCTGAGTGTCCCCTGTGTCCCCTG